AAATTTTATTGAAAATAATAATAATTTATTTCATATATTAATTATTGATGATTTTTTTTCATTAATTAAACCATATTTAAATCTTGATCGACGTATTAAAAATAAAATTCTTCAATTAACATATCGTTTAAATTATCTTGCACAAAAACAATCAATATTAATTATTAATGGTATTATTTTAAATACAAATAAACAATTAAATAATATACAAGAAAATTTTCTTATCATTGATGATATACGTTTTGATTCATTTCATGCTGATCAATATATTTTATTTCAATCAAAAACAACAATAGAAAATGATATTAATATAATAAATCTTAATAAGAAAATTCAAAATAAACATTCAATTATATCAAAATTTGATCTTGATGATTGGATAAATATAAATAATGGTGAGTTAAATATTTCGTAAACTTAAACATATTACGAACAATTATAATTTCAATAATTATAAACATCTTTCTAAATGTTAATATTGCGATTTTTAGAGTGAAAAATTTAGAATAATATTTAGTTTTTAACTCAGAGTTTATTTAAAACTTTTGCATAATTATTATTAAAATTTCATAGAAATTTACTTACCAATGATTATTATTCACTCTACTCTTCGTTCATTGATATATACTCATTCTACAACTATTATCCGTTTCAAAATAGCAGAGCAGTGGATATTTTACTACAATTTTCATTGTTGGAAAGAGGATATGAAGATTAGGGAACTACAAAATGGTCCCGGGCGACCGGGACCAATTTCGGGACCAAAAATTATTTTTTACGGGACCGGGACTGAAACCATTTTTTAGCTGGTCCCGAAAAATTATTTTGAATAAAAAAAAAAGAACTCAATTGTCTTTTCAAGTCGATTGATAATGATCCTAGACTATTTAGACGATTTATAAGAGCAGAATTAGAAATATATACATAACACGGCGCACACTTATGCGTGACACCGTGATAAGTTTCTTAAAAAAATTTTTTATGTTCGCTATTAAAAAAACGGGACCGGAACCGGGACTATAAAAATATCAGCCGGGATCGGGACCAAAAAAACGTGGTCCCGCAGTTCCCTAATGAAGATGCATCGAATTATATATTACAGATTTTTCCGGCAAGTTTTATTGAGTATTTTTTTAAATCGAAGTTTTGGTAAATCAATGCATCGTGCTTAGTCACTCTAGGGAATTTTCGATTTTTAGAAGTGCATCAAAACTGCGCAATGACCAAGTTTGTAACTTTCAGGAGTTAAGAGTATTTTTCTATGGACTTCTATCTGATTTTTGAAGAAAATTCCACTTTTTTTGCTACATTTTCATGAAAATTTACTGTACCAACCGTATACATTTATTTTTGGAAAAATCTCAATAGGAACTTTCAAAACACTTTGACAGTAAAATCTGTAATATATGATTCAATGCGTCTTCATCTTCTCTTTTCGATGGTGAAAATCTCAGGTCTCTGCCTTATTTTTTTATCAGAAGTTATTGAAAAAATACCTACTGGATGTTAGACTCAAAGAATTACTTCAGCAAAAAACTAAATATGTTCGTTTTTTTTTGTTCTGTCGCTACTAATTTTTCTATATCCTAATATGTATAAAACGTATTGAAGTTATATAAGTTGTTGACATTACATTGTCATCAACCCATGTAACGTCAATACAATGTGTAGATGCCTTGGCATTAGAGTAGAAGAAGAACAAAAAAAAAAGAAATGAGAACTAGAAAATTCTTTTCTGGCTATAACCAAAAATGATTGGTCGCATTTATTAATAGATATATCTATTATTATCTAAATTATTGTATCTATTGCTTATTTTTAGTTCCAAAAATTTCTGGTTACTGATTCTTGATATTCAAATTCTATAAAAAATTTTTGTCAGATAAGTACAGTACATTATTGAACAGTATCATAAGATAATATATTTGTTTGACTCATTTACTCTTTTTTTTTTTGTTAATAACTAAAAATATAATCCAAAGATCATATAATTTTATTTCAGATATCTTTTGTTTTCATTAATTAAAATGATTTCATTATCACAATTAAAATTTGGTAGTTTATCATCTAATTTAATTAAAGAAATGTTTCTATTACATATTCGTACAATGAGTACTATATCAATAAATTCTCATAATCAAAAACAAGATAAAACTCAAGTTAATACAGGAATTCTTTTACTTAATATGGGTGGACCAGAAACAACTAATGATGTATATGATTTTCTTAATCGTCTCTTTTCCGATAAAGATCTTATACCATTACCTGTACAAAAGTATATTTTATAATTCAAAACAAAAAAATTTTTATTTAAGTTTTTTGTTTGTTTATATTAAGAAAATTAGCTCCATGGATTGCTCGTCGTCGTACACCAAGTATTCAAGAACAATATGCAAAAATAGGTGGAGGGTCACCAATTAAAATGTGGACAGAAAAACAAGGTCAAGGAATGATTAAAATTCTTGATCAAATATCACCATCAACAGGTATAGAAAAAAAAAACAAAAAGAATTTTTTTTTACATAGAAAATATGAGTTTTATTTTATTGAATTTTAGCACCTCATAAATATTATATTGGTTTTCGTTATGTTAAACCATTAACTGAAATGGCTTTAGATGAAATTGAAAAGTATGAATTCTTGATTCTTTTTCAAAGAATGAAATAGTCGATAACTATTAAAATTTAATTTCTTCTATAGAAAATATATCATTTTTAACTATTGTAAAATACCCATGGAAAAATTTTTCAAGAAAAAACCGTGGTTTCATAAACCGCGAAAGTCAGACCTTTTATGCGGTTTTTGAAACCGGCGAAAATCGCGGTTAGACCTGCAAAAACTCAGCTCGGACCGCAGTTTTCTCGGTTCTCACCGCGGTTAACCTCAGATTACCGCGGTTTTTTTTGGAAGAATTTTTCCATGGGTAGTATAAAAGAAAATTTTAAGAACACTGTTGTTGAAATTTTTCTACAAGCGTTTAATAAATTTTGATATAAATTCATTGAAAAGTTATTCCTAACAGTGTACATCTCAAATTCTAATGTTACAAAAAACAATAGTAGAACTTCGACTATGTGACATAGAAGAAATCAAAGTTTTTTTTTTTTTTAATGAAAATTAATTTTTTAGAGATCGTCCTAAACAAATTATTGCTTTTACACAATATCCACAATATAGTTGTTCAACAACGGGTAGTAGTTTAAATGCTATTGCAAAATATTATGAAGAAAAAAAAGAAAAATTACAATTAGAAAAAGCAAATAAAATATCATATTTTGATGAAAAAAAAGATATTCAAACGAAAGAAGATCTTAAATGGAGTGTTATTGATCGTTGGCATACACATCCTGGACTTATTGCAGTAAGAAAAAAAAACAAAAATCAGTGTTATTCAAAACAAACAAAATAGTTTTCTTTTTTTTTAAGGCATTTGTTGAGAATATTCGTAATGAATTGAATAAATTTCCAGAACATGTACGAAATGATGTTGTAATTTTATTCTCAGCTCATTCATTACCAATGACAGTAAGTAAAATAAATAAAGATTCTTTTTTTTTTTTCATATAATTGTTTAGGTAGTTAATCGTGGTGATACGTATCCAGCTGAAGTTGCTGCAACTGTTCAAGCAGTTATGGAATCATTAAATTTTTCAAATCCATATCGACTTGTTTGGCAATCAAAAGTAAATTTTTTTTTATTATGAAAAATCAAAGAATAATTTCGATTATATTTAAAATTTTAGGTAGGACCTCGACCATGGCTTGGTTGTGCAACGGATAATGCTATTAAAGGTTTAGCTAAAAATAATCGACGTCATATTCTTTTGGTACCAATTGCATTTACAAGTAAATATATAAATTCATTTGTTTTTTCTTAAATTTCACTATAATTTCATATTTGATTCTTATCAGGTTTTTACCGTATTCCTAAAACTCGAACATAAAATCCTTTTCTGATTACATAAAATAGCTGATCGTATACAAAATGAAGTATCTTCGAGCTTTACAGGAGATTATCCGACTTAGTTACATACATCACAAGAAAAGTTCAGAAGTCCTTTTTTTCTTAAGAACTGACGCAAAAAGAAATTGTTATGAAGAACTTAAAAATGTCTGATTTTGTAGACAATGGATTACTCCGTGTAATCGAAAGAAACTTTTCTTTTTCTTTTTTTAGAGTTCTAGATAGTGTAAAACTAGATTCTGAGAATACGATGAAAATTTCATTTATCTAAAATCCTTGTTGCATACGATCTTTTCTACTTAAACTACTATTCGGATTTTTCATGCGAATTACCATGTCTCGATGAATTCTATATCATCGTTCGTGTGTGATTCGGAATTATTGAAAAATCTTTACTGTTCAGAATTGAATTTAACAAGAATAGGATCAGCTAAGAATACGGTGGTATCACGACACGAATAACATCTATAAACTAAGTTTTTGGTTTTTAAGAAAAATTTCTTTGTATATTATCGCATCATAAGACCTTATTTTTTTTCTTTCTAGGCGATCATATCGAAACTTTACATGAATTGGATATAGAATATAGTCAACATCTTGCTAAAAGTGTAAGTTAATTTTTTAATTTTATTATAATTAATATTTTATGTTTAACATATTTAGGCTGGTGTTGAAATGATTCGTCGATGTGCATCATTGAATGATAATCCTTTATTTATCAAAGTAATTTTTGTGTTTATTTTTGTTTAATATTTTAATAAATCTATTTTAGGGTATGGCTGATATTGTTGTAAAACATTTACAAAATCAACGTCGTCATACAACACAATTACCTTTACGTTGTCCTGGTTGTGAAAATTCATCATGTGAACGAATGCGAAAATTTTTTTGTTCATCATCTACATGAATGAAAATCTTAGATAGTTTTTTTGTTTAGTTTATTTCAATGTCAAAAAGAAAAAAAAAGAAAAATATTAGTTCGAATTTTTTTGATTGATTCATCTTCAATAAAAAAAGAAATGAAAAATAAAATTCTTTAAATATTTTTATCATTTAATTCATAAGTTTGTGGTCGTATATGAACATTTTCTTCTTTTCCATAATGATCTTTTCTCCATATACGATGATGAATAGATACAAATGCATATTTATTTATTGGTAATTTTATTAAATAAAGATAATTAATACCACCAACAATTTGTGTAGAGAATTTATCTGGTTTAAGATCAAATGTATTTGATATTTTATGAATTTCACGAAGTTTTTTAAATATTATGTTTTTATACTAAAATTAATGATATGATTTTCAATAAGAGAAAGACAAATATATAAATATAGTGACTTTGAAAATCGATCATAGAAATTTAATTTAAATAAAGAAATTCTTATTGTATTTACAAAAATAATCAATTTTAGTTTTTCAGTTAATCGAAAGAAGTTTTTCTTTATATAAATTATAATTACGAAACAAACAAAAAAAAATATCGATTTTCAAAGATACTGTACATGAAATTACATCATTAAAGATTTTTTTATGCTTTGGTTTGATCTTTGTAGTCCATGATGTATGACCACCAAGAATCAATGGTCTATAAATAAAAACCATACAAAAAAAGAACAAAATATACACGATCATTCAATTCTACTTTGCTTTTGATGGATTCTTTTCATTTTTCTTAGATGATGGTTCACTTGTCGTAGTATTTTTTATTGATGCACCATTATTTATTTCAATAAAAAATATTGTAATAATGCAAAATAAAATAAGAAATATATGTAGTTGCATTATGTTATTATGTCTGATATGAAACTTTCTTGGCAATGAGATATTCTTAATATATCTAACAATCTATTATCCAAATGGTAGCTATTTTGCGTTTCTATTTGTCAATTATACTTACGTATATCAATCAATGAAAGGATAATATATAATAAAGATCATTTAGAATAGTTACAATGATAAAGAAAAGCTAATTTCAGTGTAAATGAATAATTACTTCCTTTCTTCTTGATAGTATAAGATTATTTTTGGAAAAAAAAATTTACTGAACATCATAGAAAAACTTCTTAATTAATAGATTTCTCAATAATTTTGCACTTTAATTAGTATACTTGCATCAAAAAAAAAGAAATATTTTAATACTGAAAACCTTAAAAGTTGACTGTTGAAATCCTGAGAATCTATTATCTAGTACTTAAAATTATTTTGATATGCTAAAAAAATTTCTTTAATGACACCATAAAAAATCTGAAGTCTTCTACGACGAAGAATATGGATGATTAATTATCAATTTTGAATCCTTTTTTATCGCTTTGCTAGTGCAAATCGTTAATTATGTACTCAATAACTCCTATTGCGATTTTCTTTAGTGAACTACGATCTTTGACATCCAAAAAAAGAAACACACATGACAATCAATCGAACATTTAACCAATGAAAAAAAAACCCAACTACAACAATCGAAAGATTTTTATATTTCACTTCGATAGAGATCATAATGACGATATGTATATTTCGTTTTTTTTGCCGTTACGCCATTACAATGATTCATAACACCTATAAATAAAAAAGGTTTGAATATATATTCAAGTACAAATGAAGTGAAACGAAGGTGTCATGTGACGCTGAAAAAAAGAAACTGATAAACATGCAAAAAAAAATTCGACATTTTTTGTCCTTCTTATACGCGCATAACTAAAGAGAAATGTATTGTAGAAAGTAAATAATGTTCTTTCTTTTTTTTTGTATAATCACTACATATCTTTGAATTACATAAGATTTTTTTTTTTCTGTTCTTATTCTAAAATAATAAGTGTATTGGGTATTTTTTATTTATATATACGCCTCTATTGAATACATATTTCATCAATTGAAATTAGTGATTTATAGCAAGTAAGAAGAAAAATATTGTTTTATATTTTTGGATCATATATAATGTTTTTTGTTTTTTTTTCTTCTTTCAATAGCAATATGTTGGTTGTCGATTGTCTTCCACAAACAAGTGTAATTCAACAAATGACAGAAACAATGGATAATGATAAATCTTCGAATATACAGATGTCTAAACCAATGATTAATGATAATCACAATTCAATCTCTACGATTGAAATTCCACTCTTATCATTAAAACCAATTTTGGCCGTCTCATCAAATTATATTTTGGTAAATGAATATACGAAGAAAAAGAAACAATTAATACTTATAGATGAAAATTGTAATAGATCTTCAATAAATTATTCAATAACAGAAAATATTATAGATGCACTATGGTTTGATATGGAACAAAAATTTTTTTTACTTACAGAAACAAAAATTTTTACCCTTAATCCAAATACAAAAATTATCAAATCAATATCTGATATAAAATCGAATAACAAAAAACCCTTTAAATGTTTTACAGTAATAAATAATCAATCATCATTATTAATTGTTTATGATGAATGGGAACCAAAATTTATTGATAGATGGCAAAAAAATAATGACAATAGTCATTGGATATTAAGTGAAAGATATTCATTGAATTTAACTTCGAATGAATTTATTGGAACAATTTTAGCAAACAATCAAGATGATAATGTTTATCTTGCTATGACAGTTTATAATTGTCTTACTCAACAATGGCGTATGGAATTACGATATATAGAAACATTAATTTGTTTTAAAAAAATTTTACTTCCTGGCTCTGATTTCACAGATGATTATAGAATGATTGGTATGAATAATATTACATTAGATATTAAATGGTTAATATATTCAACAGCTAATAATAAGATTATAGGAATTGATTCAAATTGGAATAGAATACTTTTAAATTATAAACTTCCAGTACATAGAATGGTACAATTTAAAGAGAACAATTTAATTATACGAACGAAAACACGTATTGAAATTCATTGTTTTTTGCTTTAAATGTATTATATCTAATACATACATAAATTTTGAGGCTTGCGGATCAAATTGTATTTAATCCTTTTTTTTCTTCTTTTCTTATCTATATTTTTTATTCAATTAATATAATAAATCATAAAAAAAAAATATTAATTAATATATATGATAAAGATATTTTGTATAAAAATGTTTGTTCAATTTTTATATCAACTTATACAAAACGCAAAAGAAATTTGATAGCTAAATTTGTTGTCTACATACTATAATTGTTGTTATATGATTGATAATTATTTTCAATGAATCTCTGAACAGACTTTAAAAATACGAAAACAAACAATCCTAAGAATCGATTAAAATTGTTTTTTTTTGTTTAGGGAGTTTAATGTGTTTTAATTTGATGAACTCTTGTCTACATGAAATATTTCATCTGTCTTGTAAAGCTTTAGTATTATTATTATTGTAAATTCTTTTTTCGCACATTCCAATTTCAACTGAAAGTTATGCGTGACGGGAAAACTATCGGAACTGATACTCTTCATTCCGGTCCTAAGAGTTTTCGAAGTCGAATTAATATCATTCTAATGAATTAGATCATTCTATTTTTCCATCTAATATAAATTCATGGTTTTATAATATTATTATTTATGTCTGAAGAGTATTTATTAATTTTAGGTGTAGTAATAGAAACAACTACAATCACACTCTGATATAAGCATTGTGAATATTCGATAAAATTGATATCATTAACACATACGTGAGATATGATTTGCTTGATATTTGGCTCATCAATCATGATTAAATTTAGTAATAGAAATATATTAATTTTAAAGCAAAATGAAATTTCATATTCAAATTCGATTATTGAGACCTTTTTTTTGGTTTCTTAAAGAAATTCTTCTTTTTTTTTTTTTCTTCAAAATAATTTAAGAAGTTTAGTGAAAGCACATACTATTCATTATGTCAATACTTTTACAATGTTATAATTTTTTTTTTTGAAGATTTTTCTTCATTCAAACAGATCTACGATTTTTGTTTGTCTAGAACTTGAAAAAAAATCTAATACCTAAAATAGTAAAAATGCACATCATTGATTCTTCTTATGCTCGCAAATGATCCTAAACTTAAAAGTTTTATACTATTGAATTTAGAGAGTTGCAGATCCACGTTTTCATAGACTCAGATCTGAAAGGATTAAGAGGCCTCTAACTAATTTCTTATTATTGATGTACATTAGTCTAGTAGTATCGTTTTTCAAAATATTTTCGCCTTTTTTTTTTTGTTTATTCCGTTGAGATTATTTCGAATAATCTAATCTATCTGAGTATAATAAAATCAACATCTATAGTCTTTCATATCTCAATTTAATGATGCTTTTGAAATATCAATTCGATTGATAAAAACGATTGTATACTGATAACCGAGTGAAATTTATTAGGATGCATAAGTATTTGTTTTCTTTCCATTAATTTTCTATGGAATAACTGTATTAACATATTGAGATGGGTATTTTCTACAACATTCTTATATTAGTTAAGAATCACTAGCAGAATAATATTTTGAAACACATGGAAATAATATTTCGAGATCATTATCAATAATATTTAGTATGTGTATGAATAATAATAGATTTCATCTGTCAATGAGTTAACTTTACATAGATCATCAATCAACGAACATTGACGATTTCTATCAACACATGTTACATTCGAAACATAAAAATAAATTATTACTTCGTTTTTTCGCTAAAACCTGACTTTAAATATCAATATTTATCATACAATTGAGTCATTTACTAACTATCTATGACAACACATCGTGATTCATATTTGCATTTGGTTTTTTCCTTCATCAATTAAAAATACATTAGACAACCAAACGTATAAATACGATATGTTTATTCTTTACATTTCAAGCAAAAACTAAACCACATATCTTTTATAATGCAAGTCGTATTCATTCTTTCTCTAGTGTTTATTTGTAGTACATTGCATATTCAATTAGTAGATTCATCAATTCAAACCAGAGGTCGTATTATTAATAAACCTATATGTCTAGTTTTATCTGATTGTCAAGTGAAATGTAAACGATATATAATTCGAAATCAATGTCCAACATGTGAATGTAATCCATGTGTATATGGTCAACCACTTTATGATATATCTTGTGGTCAAGGAGATCAAAAATGTTTATTAGCAGGTGGTTTATGTAAAATTCATTCATGGTATAATAAACCTTATTGTTGTCCAAAAGAACATGATGGATATTGTCCATCAATGTCTAATGAAGATACAGATATATTATTTCCTTGTGTTCCACAATGTTATTCAGATAATGATTGTAAAGTAGATGAAAAATGTTGTGGAACATGTGTACGAAAATGTATGAAGGCTTTTATTGCTTAAGTCTTCATTCAAAAATAAATTATATTTATATATATTTTATATGTAATAATATGAATTGATGAAATATACGAATAGTGGTTATATTCATCAGTCGGTTTTCTTTTTTATTGATGTTTATTTTTGTAAAAGAAATTTTTGATCGGAATAGAAAAAAAACCAGTTACCACAGTGAAATGAAGTAGGATAATGGATATTAAATACTAGACTGATAGTTCATGTTTGTAAGTAAGGGAAAGATAATTATTAGTTTATTTCAATTTTTTGTTAATTTGATTAGAACAATAAGAGAATATCTGAGTAAAAATAGTAAAATTGAACTCATTTTGCAATTCTTGAGATCAAATACTATAAAAAGTAGTTTGTAAATATATTAAGAGTTACACAGTTTCTATTGTTTCTTTCATAACGTAAAGTATCAGAAAATAATCCAATATTAATACTTTTGCTTAATATACTCTTTTTATTATTCTTAACTATTAATCAAGCAGTTATAGA